AATCGAGGCAGTGGCTGAGTATAAATATCTCAGTTTCATCACATCACATATTAATCAATTAAGAATAAAGTTAAAGCAAAAGCTAGGGTTTTATTATAGACATATACCCTGCTTTTCATTTGAGGCAAAAAGGAGATTAGTTTCTGCTGCATGTATGCCAGTCCTTGACTATGGAGATATTTTGTATCAGCATCTACTAAACTTTTGAGTTCTTTGGACACTTTGTATCATGGAGCGCTGAGGTTTATATTAAATTGTAATGTTAGTGCCCATCATTGTGATTTGTATAATAGAGTTGTTGGACGTCATTATCAAAACGCAGACATATTCACAGGTACCTGTTTATTTATAAATCCATCTTGGGTTTACTGCCTCCGTATCTCTGCTCTCTCACTGAATGTAAAGCTCCTGGAGCTTATTCTCTGCGCTCACTCTTACGGTTCCGTCTGTACGGACTGAACTTGGAACGCAAGCTCTTCGGTTTGCGGCGCCCAATGACTGGCACTGATCGATGAGCTGTTAAAGGAAGAATCAACTTGTATGTGTTTTTAAATTGTGTTTTGTAACAGTGTTTTGGTGATTTTTCTCTTGATAATGCAGTGCTGCATCTTGGACAGGTCACTTCTGTAAAAGAGATTTTTTAATCTCAGAAAGTTTTTACGTGGTTAAAGGACATGAAATGAAATGGATGGAGCGTGGCTTGTGTTCCTCGATCGGAGAGACATTTATATATCAGCGCGCTCCGCTCAGATGAAGAACGGTGTCCTCTGGAAGCTGCCAGGATCTGCGAGCAGAGATGACACCGCGGAGGGCTGTAATTAGTTATTCAATTACGCCGTGATTATGTGTGTGCATTGATGGGGAGGAGGCCACTCGAACGCCGGCTCACTCTCTCAGCACCTCCTTTCAGCTTTTTGTTCTTAAGTGCTGCGCTCTCACTAAAAAGCCTTTTTAACCAGCATGGCACCTGCTTTAAAATCAAACGCGGGCGCTCGTTACGCCTAATGGCAGCGTGTCTGCCAGCGACGCTCTCAGCGGCATCCCACTCTCTCCATCCGCCAAAGCCAACGCGCTCCAAATTAGCTACATTTCACAAACAATTTCACCGACTCGTTACGCAGTTAGATGTTTATTGGAAGATCACTGACTTCCCCCGAGCGATACTTGTGCCAGATTTCGGTGGCCCACATAATAGACCTCAATTATAATTGGAGCCCCGTGTCCGTTTATGCATTTATTTATGGAACCTTTGCATTGAAGTACGGCAGCCTTTGTGTTTTTGCCTCCAGAGCGGAAGCTGTTCGGACGCCTCCCTCGGGGGTTACAAGCGCGTCTATTTAACCCGAGACCCTTCGAAAGCTCGTTTGCTTCTGGTGGGCTTGTTTGTAGCCCTGACCTCATGATATCAGATGTGCTGATGAAGTCAACTGCTTGTGTTCCCGTCCTTGTTTTCTCATCCAAACCCAGCAGTCGGTAGAAGAGCCCAAGTCATCCTGTCCCAACCCATCTGATGTTACTTATGATCTAGAGTGAAGTGATTTCAGTTTAATGCTACTGTATGACATTAGGACAGTTATTTCCTTCAAATACTATTAAAATAAAACCGGGCCAGTTCAAACATGGACACTATTACCACTAGCATTTATGCCACGACTAGATCAGCACGATTTTGGATGACAATGTTCGTCCAGGAGTGGTGTCGAGAAACTCTGAAATAGATACAATTAAAATTGATATATTCAATTTATATATCAATTTTTTTTTTTATTTTAGTTTTTATTTAATCGTGTATTCCTGTTTACAGTCCCCAGATTATTGCAAAAGGGCACATCGTTTAAAAAAATTATATACTGCATAAAAGAATATTATATAGATATTAAAGAATTAAAGAATATTATATTCTGCTTGAATGATGACTAATTGGAAAACCTTTAATTTTACTTTGGATAAACATTAAAGAAACAGGCCATTCTACATAGAGAATGATGGAAATGTATAAAATTGTAAAAAAAAGAATATAAGAAAATACATTAAGGTTGGAATAAAGCTAAAACTGCAGGAAAAAGGTGTGTGTGATTGTGTGTGTGAGTGTGAGAGAGAGTGTGTGTAAGAGAGAGTGTGTGTGTGTGAGTGTGAGAGAGAGAGAGAGAGAGAGAGAGTGTGTGTGTGTGTGTGTGAG